ACAAAACAAGGAAAAGTACAAGCCAAACATCTCATCCTACTCACAGGGCTGTGTTTCCTTGGGAATCCTGGATATTTGTGGAAGCACTCTGCTTCAGGAGAAGCTGTATGAGACGGTAGTTTCCTTTTGCAGAAGCTCTGTGCAGGGGAGTAGAGTCCAACTTGTCTGTGGCATTGGGGTCGGCTCCATTTTCCAGCAAAATAAGGGCAATCTATAAAAAGAATTTGAACATAAATCAAACATAATTAGCAGATCCTGTTTACTTGCCATGAGATGATTTGTGTTCATAACTATACTACAAAATATGTCTCTCATTCCTGTGGTATAACTCGATATTAACAACAACCATGTAAAAGTAATAATTATGTGCTGCATACTGTAGCAAATATTTTATAAAATGGGACATACAAAACATCACCAAACCAATACAGTTTGAAGTTCTGTCACATACAATAGTGTAAAGATAAAAATAAATAAGGTTAAAATAACAATAGCAGTAAAATATCACAATAAAAATAAACAGCAATATCAGGACCTGTATTTATGTAAGGCAGTGATCTGGAAGACGTAAGGAATAGTATAAAGAGCATAATGTGTCATATTAACTATTAGGAATCTTCATTTAGTGTGGGCACAGCTTAAGGACAGAAATGATAGATACTCAAATATAAGAATACAAGAGTATTCTTATGAATGTGCCTATATTTAAGCTTTGTCCAAAACAAAATACAAGTGAATAATCAGACAGCAGGATCGGGTAGTATCCCTAGAGGAACTGGGGTAGTGGGCCATGCCCAAGGGGGCAATAGTGAAATCAATCTGCCAGGCATGGGTTTGAACTGGCGACCTTCCGATCACGAGTCACAATCTACAGAGCCACACACTATCCAGCTTTGGTCACAGTGTCTTAAGCATGACCCTGCCTATTCCTCACTTTTATACTTTGCTTAGTGTCCATGTGGACAAGGATATTGGTGTGTTGCATTTGAACTCTGAAGTTGGAATTTGAGTTAGAAACTTGATCTGGAATGCCCCCTGAAGTCGGAGCTCCGACTCGGAAAGTCGAAGGAAACGCAGCAGCTCTAATGTCAGAATTCAATTTGGCGCCACCCTTCAGCAACATAAGTGAAGGCTGTAGACATACACTGCTTATTAGCACTCATGTCTTATTTGCGTCTCATTAAATCGGTGGCACACACAGTATTGTCCAACCGCTATCTGTGGACATGTTGCTAAGGTGTACTTCATAATGCATTGTTATCCACTAGAATTGCTTAAAATGTCCCTGACTGAAACTGGTATTGCTGAATTCTTGTAATTGTATTTGGTTAGCTCAGGTGTGATGTCAGCTCTGAGTTTGGCGGTAAATGGAATGCAGCATATGTATCTGGCATTCCATTGGATGCCCTACCTCATATCTGTCCTTAGAGGCAGCGTAGTGTAGTGGTGTGCAGCCATTCTGGTTGACAGGGTTCAGATCTGCTCCTCTGCTTATCAACGCTCTCACGATTTCTTCTCTGCCAGCAGATGCTGCGATGTGTAGGGGTGTCCAGCATGCCTGAAATGTCAGGGCAATATATGAAAGTATGATGGATAAAAATTATGTGTTTTGTATTTCTCAATTATTCGTTTTTTAAATTAACTTTAAGGATGAATTATGGAATAATCTGTTATGAAACGTTACATAAAACTCACACTTACTTACATCATCTTTAAGATTCACATCTACCGCAAAATTCAACAGGAATTGTACTATATCAGTGTGACCCGCTGAACATGCCCAGTGAAGAGCGGTTCTATGATCCTGGAAAAAAAAAATACTGGTCTGACACAAAATTTACCGCAGTCAGTTTTTAGCAGGTTACCAGACAGGAAATCACCTGACTCAGAAACGAGTTTAATGCTTTGTAAACATCATCATTTGTACTAAAATAGCATACACGTTGGCCCATGCTGCATTTAAATCGCTAGTCATTCAACCCCAGGACTGTATCCATCCGACTCACCAAACTGTCCTGAAGCAATTCTTCAAGAGATAACGATGTAATTTTAATGATTCATCTTACCTGGTCTGTTTTGGTAGCCAGTGATTTATCAGACAATATGCTCTGTTTTAACTGGTCAAACTTCCCAGCATAAGCAAAATTGCAGACTTCTAAATTTGACACTGAACCTTCCATAGTTACTGCCCCAGCAAGCGGACGTTATTTTCCCCTCCGGTTCACATTTTGCTCAGTACCTTGTGTCGGCGGCGTTAAAATCATAGATCTACACAAACTAGATTCGTGACGTTTCAAATGGCGCACTGAGCAAATAGAAAACTATGTCAAGTATATACATTTTTAAAATAAATAGAACTTCCTGAATACATTGAATGATTAAGAAATTACCGTTAGCTATGATATCGTTAACGCTAAACCGTTATTAAACTTAGCAGTGAAGGGACTGTTCGAACATTAGCCTATCTTTACGGATTGCTTGATTTGTTCTAGTATTTATACGTCTACACCAATCCCAGATTAGGAATATAATACGCGCGCCATTTCCGGCAAGCTGCAATAGGAACCAACGTTTTCTCGCTTTGTTTCTGGGGGGATCTAATGCAGGAGTGCTTGCATAAAAAAATACGCTAAGAAAGCTGGAACCTTGCGTATGAACACTAGTATCGTGCTTGAGACTGCACGAACGGGAGACTATTGAACTAAATTGTTTAAAACCATCTAGCACACTCATGGCCTCAACAGTAGTAAGTTTAGACGTTCAGTTGATTTGTTTATTATACAGCTTGTACCTGTTGTTTGTACTGGTTTGCTTCTCAAAAGTACAGTACCAACACTTTGTTACATCCAGTCAGCTAATTCATGCATTTGTTAAGATGGATGGATGAATGGATGGATGGGTGGGTGAATGGATGGATGGAATAAGTTAATTGCATCTGAGATCGCTTGTTTATTTAAAAAAAAAAATGCTTTTTAATTGCGAACTGTAAATATTATGTCGAAGTAATGTATGACATGTGATTGGGAACATTCGCTATTTTTTTAAATTTACTAATTCTTAAATGTCCATAAAAGCCTAAAATGTGCTGTGGGGGTGTATATTTGTATTTTCCTAATGTATTTACGCATACAGTTCTTATGGCCTCAGTAGGGAATTCATTGGTTAACTGGGTTTAGCCAACATGAGCTTAAAAGATGCTAAAGTGCAACTGATCATTTACCACATTTTTTTGTAATCTTCAGGATTTCAGGACGCACGTAGATCAATCATGTAGATATTCTGAGGAATTTGTTAATATTTATTACGACTGCATGGACAAGAAAAGGAGGGTATGTGTATTATTATTGTCCAACTCCTTGTACACTGTGCTGTTTTATGTGTATATTATTTGCACTAATATACATTTAATTAATTATGTCTGTTAAAATCAATTTTACACAAGCACCTTACAAGACTATACTTGGACAAAGCCACTCTCGTGTGGAATGGTAATGCAGTATCCGGCCACGATGCCCTAGGGGAATTTTTCGAGTCCCTGCCGTCAAGTGAATTCCAGGTTCACACACTGGATTGCCAGCCAGTGCATGGTAAGGAAATGAGCAGGCCTGCATTAATGGTTTCTGTTTATATGTTATGGAAGGTCTGCATTAATGGTCTCTGTTTATATGTTATGTATTATTTTAGCAGCTTATGGTACAATGACCCATGTAAAAATTCATTTTCAGATCAAGCAACCCAAGGACAGACAACTCTGTTGGTTGTTACTGGAGGGTCTGTCAAGTTTGATGGCAACAAACAGCACTATTTCAACCAGAACTTTCTTTTGACTGCTCAAGCATCCCCGACAAGCGACCAGCCTGTGTGGAAGATAGCAAGTGACTGTTTTAGATTCCAAGACTGGGCCAGCTGAAGCTATGTTATATATATTTATGTTAAGCTACTCTTTATAAAAACCATAACCGTGTGAAATCTGTGAATAAAATCTTTAAATATTTGAATACAAAGCCAAACACAATGTCTCAAATACTTAAATTTTATTGTACACAACAGATACATTAACCAGGAAAGGCGGGTAACTATCCCATTGTCAAACACAAAAATCACAATTGAATAAATAACAGTATTCAAATCAAAAATTAAGAAAAAAAGATTGCATTGGAAATTACACATTACTTCCAAACTTTAAACAATGTTTGGCATTTTATAAACCCTGAGGCCTCACAGAATGCATTTCCTTCTGGTGTCATTGTTTTCCCCCAGTGACACCAGTTATGCAATTTGTCTTTAATTTGCTGTGCCAAACTTCACAGGTGAAATCAAATATTTTAAATTGGAGAGGAAAACGATAAAATAATTTCACCCCCCCCCCCCACCACCCCAAACAAAAAAAATGCAGCAAGCGTCAGACAGGACATTGTTTGCGTTCTTTCAAACACAAATGACCACTTAAATTACTCTGACATTTTAGCATTTAGTGCAATTGACTGTATTTTGTCAATTTCTGAATCTGGTTAAGATTACAATTGTATATTGTCTATTCTCAATTTGATGAAATCTGCAGGCATGCAAACAGAAAATGCCCAAAATACCTAAAATCAATTGGAGGGAATATAAACATTGAAATTTAGTGTCCCTTTCATGTGCTTCACACAATCATAACCCAAACTATTTCACTATTTCAGGCACTTCTAGACACAACTTGTCGGCACATTTTCTTCATTTCTACATACACACACACACAAGCTAGTGGTCTACAATTTACAGTCAACTGAAATATCTATTACACAATCATGACACATGGTATTAACCAAAAAAAAGTTTCTAAAAAATGACAAGAAATAGCCCAGGCTTCAATACAGTTAAAGTTGTATGTGTAAAACAGCTAGAGAAAAAAAAATGTAGAAGATTCCAAATGAATGTAGATTTATGAGTTTGTATTTCAATTTCAGGTTAGTTGTGGCTTGAATATGAATAGTCATTTTACAAACAAACCAAAACTTTCAAGCATTTCAGATCATACACCTTCATTCTTAACATTTCTAAAAGTAAACATTGAAAACTTCATGTGCCCATGAACAGTTTAATGTATTTCCTACTCAAGTCATTACACATCACCTTTTTAATTGTGCAAAATATGAATTATATCAATATTTCAATGAATAATTATTTACAATTTGGGTCAGTGGTGGTTTGTAGACATATCTGACAGTCATAATAGGCTGAGCACAAATTGTGGTACACATAAACCTCAGGCAAAAGAATAATCTAGAAAGAGGAAAAAGTAGTTCAAATACAAAAAAGTGCAAATAACTCTGACGCCATGCAGGATGAATGTGTGCCACCATTTGTGTAGCGTATATAGATGACTGTGGCTAATATGTCCTCTGTCCACGTCATCCTCCAGCTGACATGGGTCATTCTAACCCCTGAAAAATTTGTTCTGGAATCATGGACCATTCTGTGCTATATATCATGATGACGACCAGTCGACCTTGCAGAGGCAGACTTTGGAAACTGAAGAAAAAAAATTGGCTAAATAAGTTCATAGCTGAACATTTGACTTAAATATTAAATTAGTTTATATAAAATGAATTGGCGAACCACTTAGATAAATATATCAATGACTTCAGTTACGCATCTTCACACAAGGCACAGCACTTCTGCTGGAAACCTAAGGGAGCCAACCATCCACGCATTTACACGCCAAACTGTGACAGCCTCCAGAATTGTATCTCTATGTGTTTTCCCTTCAAATACAGCATTTCTCCCACCAAATACAGTACAAGTTTCCTAAACATACAGCGAAATTGCTGCAGCAATAAAGTCAAAAGCTTGAGCCAATGTTTAGGGACAAAGTTGGAAGGAAAAAAAAACGTCACACATAAATCAGCAGTAACTTACACTTATGGATGGCCGGCTACCTGGATTCACCAGAAGACAGTGGTCAGAGATGCTGAGATGCCCAACATTCGGTGCATCTTACTCCCTTTTGTGTTATTAAGAAAGCTGATATACATACAGTATATTTCACAGATTAAGTTACAAAAGATTGTTAGCAGAGGTGGAAAGTTCAGGTCCAGAAAGTATAAATCCAGTGCAAGGTTTTATTTCAACCAGCCAGTTGAGTACACTGTGACTATGTCTGTTTATACTCAACTGGTTAGTTGAAACACCTTTCCACCTCTGATTGTTAGGCAGTTTAAATGGCAGTTTTACTTTCCTTGAAAAAATGCTCGTGATACTTGACATGACACCTTTTGGATGTTTCTGTAAAGCTGGTACTGTTTAAGTCCCTACACACAATACTTTAAGCTCTGTGATCTAAAACTATTATTTGACACGGTCCCAATGTCAGGGACTGACAAGTCACCACTAAAAGCGATCTAACAAAAAGTAGTGATCCTGTGGGCTTCAATAATCATTACAGATGTTCGTAGGCTTGACCATGGCCCTACTTTCCCCCATACATTCTTTCAATGTCATGGAGATAGTGATCTTTCAGTTCCTTCCTCTTGAGTTTAAAGGCATCAGTGACAAGGCCTGTCTCCGGCGTCCAGGGTTCTGGGCTCAAACGGACCTTGACTGGGATTTCAAACCGCTGCAGTTTGTCTGTTGGGTAGTGAAAATAAATATGAAATCTTTTTCTGGTATACACAGACCCAACTGGGCATGGCCTGCAAGGTCAGGATGAAGACTACAATACTGGGCAAAGGTCTTGGGCAGTCAAAGAAAGAAAATAAAATGTTTAAGGCTATCTAGGTAGTAAGTGTATATTTGCTCAGCAAAAATCATATTTTAACATTAGAATATATGGAAATTAACACAATGAAAAAATTATTTCTTCTGTTTTCCAAAAAGTTACTTATATCTTGTTGGACAGCTAGATGAACACCACTTCAATTCCCATTCCTCTCCTCAGGGGCACTTCAGTCATTCCATATATTCATTAAAATTTCACTACCAGCTCAATTAATAAATTGACTTAATTAGTTATAAAACTCAGTGAGGTATTGATTAGCCAAACAAGGTGTGCGAGTGGTCAAGTCAAAAAACATATTGGTGTATTGGACAGTTTCTGCTGATACTCGGGTGACTTTAGCAGAGGTTTTGAGATGGCTAAGCTGACACACTTTGACAGACAAGATCACAATTTTATACCAACATGAAGAGCATTTAAAGAACATTTTAACTGACTGCCAAAAACCTTTGCACAGTGCTGTGTGTGATTGCACTATTTCAACCTAAATATGACACGGGAAAACAGCATTTACTCCTTTGTGATGGAACGATGGACTAATTTGAGGACTCTTACTTGATTTAGCAACCGTTTTGATCTCCTTCAGGACCTCGGCCTCCATGGCGGGGTGGTTGCAGATCTCCTCCCAGGTCCCTTGGACTCCTTTCCCACTTGCAAGATCCGTCAGCTTTTTCTTGTTGGGCACAATGAAACTGATGACATAGTTCTGGTCACTGGAGGAGCGAGGCACAAAGACACGGCATTGTGAGCACCGTCACAGGGACCAACACAGCACCACCAACTCCAGCAAGGGACATCAGATACCTGTTGGCATAGGCGCATATGTTGTCGATGAGGGGGCAGCTCTTCAGCGCAGACTCCACCTTCCCCAGAGAGACGTACTCTCCAGCTTGCAGCTTCACGAGGTCCTTCTTTCGATCTGAGGGTGCACAGTTCCCACAAATGACTGTCACTTAATGAACTGAAAGCCAGATGTGCCACTAGACTGTTCCCATGCCAATGACTCTGCTCTTCAAAAGGCCAGAGAAGAATAGATGAAAAATGAGAAGCACGCTACAGTCTGGGCACCATTTAACCTGATACGAAAATCTCTCAGATCTCCATTTGATTATTTGGAAATGTTACTAGGGTGTCTGAGACTCCTATTGTGCCACCTGCTCGCAAACTGAGCTAGGACTGCACCAGGACAAACGTTTCCTCTCCTGAGCACTTACCCACAATCTGCAGGCAGCCATCAGGGTGAATCTCACCCACGTCGCCTGTGCAGAACCAGCGCTGGCCCTGTTCGTCCACAAAGAAGTCGCCGCTGTTGCAGTCGCTCCTGTAGTAGCCCATGGTTACATTGGGACCCCCGATCAGGATCTCCCCACGCGGGTGGGGATGGTCCCGGGTCGTGTAGCCGCCTGAAACAAATCAAGAACGTTTCTCTCAACAGCTACCACAGCATATAGTGAGAAAGTGACCAGATGAGTCCATTATATCATTGTGCTGAAGACGCCTGTCATGTGTAGAGAACTGATCTCAGCCCAGTCCTTTAGACCCTCAGACAGTCCACATTTTGCACACTCCCAGCTCCCAATACACCTGTACCAGGTTTTTGGTGTTCTAGATCGCTTTAAGAATAAAATGTGACCTTATCCGAGCGCTCTGAAGATCGCTATTGGTGGAAAATGGTTCTATGACACTGATATACAAAAAAGAACCGTGGTAGACCCTTCCAAGGGGGACTACTGACCACTGGAGAATGTGTGAGGCAGGGTCCAGCTGACTGTGAGGAGGTGAGCTTGTGGGTATGTGTTTGTATGTGTGTGTGTGTGTGTGTGGGGGGGGTCTGCTTACCCTCGGCCCAGTCCCTCAGTTTGATCTCGCAGCAGATGAGTGGAGCACCAACTCTGCCAGTGCTATAATCCGCCACTGACATAAGACAGCGACATCACCCCTCAGAAAGCAGCACTCAGTACTTATATTGCATTTATATTATATTTATATTATACTATATTGTGTATAAAACAGGGCTGCGTACATGACTACTACATTTGGAAATAAGGTGAATTTGTACAAGATAAAGAGACATTTGAGAATTATTATTATTTATGATACTATTTCATTATCCTCCTGAGATCCAATAATTCATTTTAACCTCTATATTGGACATGTTCTTGCTCATATATCTCATATACATGCCACTCTATCAAGTCCTGTTGTTCTTTAAAGAGCACAGTTTGGGCTTTAAGATGACATCACATGTGTGCTTTTCACTATCCCAAAACTTACATTTATGGGGAAAAAAAAACCCACCCTAAATCTCAGGAGGATAGGAGAACTTAATTCTAGCCCAGAATCTTAAGTCGCTTAAATGAACATCTGTCACTCCCAGCACTGGGCACAGAGGACAGCTAAGCGATTGGGCCACAGGCCAAACAAGGCTGAGATGATCAGGTAGGAAAGTCTCGGCCTCAGGGGATGTTCCTGAGCTAAAGCTAAACTCATTCATCTGACGCTCAGCGTAATGCTCTGCTGGCAAGAGAGGCCATCGACTGCATCAAGTAATTACGGCTCAGATGGCCTCGTGATTGTCCACACCTGACTTCCACAACAAAGGAGCAAGTCATATTGCCAATTAAGGCTGATTTAAGTTATGGGCGGGCAGGGTGATACTCGCAATACAGATATTGTGATTGGGTGGCAGCGGCATACTGCCGCATTGGCGCTGCCCCCAACTCTCACCCTCCGTGATGGTTCCCGCGCCGCAGGTCTCGGTCAGCCCATAGCCCTGGCCCACCGGGCAGCAGAAGCAGACGTTCATGAAGCGCTGTGTGGCAGAGGACAGGGGCGCCCCTCCCGAAAGCATCATACGCACCTTCCCCCCCAAAAGGGCCCTCACCTTCTTAAACAGCAGCCTAGAGACACAGAAAACTGGCATCACTTGTGGTGGAGGGACAGTAAACACCCCCACTCAGCCCATCTGTCGCTGTCCATACAAGCATTTTACAGTGTGTGTCTTTGGGTTGGAGCAAGTTGGTTAGTAACGTTAAGATTTATGTCAGACCCCAAATATTAGTAAGATATTAGTAAGATAGAAAAGGTCATGCTCTACAGAAATTGGAACTTCATTAATAAACATCTTTGCCAATAATCTGTCTGCTTCATAGCAACAATGTAAAATCACCAAATGTGTTGGCATCGTTTTCTTAAGAAGATACTGACAGAATGACATCAATGTATTCCCCAAATGCCCCCCATAAACTCCCCCCATTTAACCCCAACTTCTTCTACGCCCCCCAGCCTCTACAACTTCTCGCCCCCCCTACTCACTTGAACCACCTGTCCAAAAAAGTCTTTATTCAAAGCCCGACTTTGTGTGACTTGTTTCAATGTAATCAGGTTCAGTAGAGCTGCGTCTCTGGCTGTCCTTTCATGTACCACCACTAAGTAACACTTCTTCAGTTTTGGTGCAATTTGTTCCAAAAATGAAATAGGTCCCAGATCATCACCTATACAACATTTTGGAAGTTTGGATAAGATCCATGAAGTACTTGAAGAGTTACTGTATTCACAATATTCACATCTTTTCAGCTGTCCTTTCCTTCCTTTGCTGCCACCTAGTGCTGCTACTACTAGCAATTTTGGTGCAATTGATCTAAAAATGAAATATAGTGGTACCTCGGTTATCAAACTTAATCCGTTCCAGACTCCGGATCGAATCCTAAAAAATTCGAATTCTGATCGAATTTTTCCCATAAGAAATAATTGAAAACCAATTAATTGGTTCCCGGCCCCCCAAAATTACACCTAAATATGTTTTTTTTTTTTTTTTTTTACTATTTAAACACAAAATGAACAGGATAAAACAAGAAGAGCATTTTTATCTTAATGGCTTCCAAAACGATAAAGATCTTATCCCAACATTACCCCTGTCCTGCCCCGATCGTTCGCTACTTCCGTGTGCCACGCCCCCTCGTTAACCTCGTGTGGGATCCCCATGTGATCAGCTGTTTCTGGTTGTTGTCATTAGTCCTCTGTATTAAGTCCGCGTTTCAGTTTGTTTCCCCAGTGATTGGGGTGCGTTCGACTTGCTTACAGCGCTGGCTTAAAGCAACGCATTCTGATCCTGACGCAATGCATTACGATTAGATGCATTGCGACCCCTCACCCGGCTGTACAAACTGGAACCGCCTCCGTAACGACACATCTTTGCCCTTATTAGCTGAAGAGTTTAGTTACACGCATGAAGTTTGTATCCCAGGCAGTTCCGATGCGTAATCTGCTATTTCTCCCGAATGTCACCTAAAGCAGTGAGAACTGGTTTTCAGTGAATTTACCTGGTAAAATAAAGTTTAAATAAATGACATAAATGCTCTAATAGTACACGTAAATTAGTGGTTTATTTATTGTTAGTTACTGTAATGTTGCGCTCCTTTTTTTTAGTTAATCGTTAGTTAATTGCTACCAAGGTGAACCAATGAACCAGGAGAATTGTGTTTGTTATACGTTTCAGCTTAGTTTGTTGACGTTTTGTGATCAATCAGGGGGGTATTCCATGAAGCAGGCTTAAGGGAAAGTCTGACTTATTTCGACAAGTCAGTCTTACTTAAGTGAGAGTTCCGTTCCATCAACGTGTCTTAAATGAATCCCCGCTGAATTACCATGGTAATTTATACCTGCGAGCAAGTCTGGTCCGCTTGATCGCTTAGTTTAGCGTTGTCTCAAAGACCGTCCGACGTGTGGGAACAGATTCCCAAAAGATCGTTCCGTCGGACGAAATTCCGCGATCTTACTATTCATGTCATGTAATCTGTTGAATTATATGTCCTCATCTGACATTATATTTTACATTATCTGATTGATTTTTTTTGTTAATCTGTAAGGTGTACCAAAATGACATGATTTTGTTTGAGTTAGCGGGAGAATGAGTCTTGTATATACGTATATATATAAAAAATGGAACCCTGTAGCCAGTGCTGTGAGTAAAAGCAAGACGAGAAAGCAGAGAATAAAAACCATCTTTTCTGAAGTAAAGCTCTGCGTGATACTTCCATAATATGGAGAACAGAGCTGAGATTGATACATAATCAATATAATAAAGCCTATAAAATCACGTCTTAGCATTCCAATTAATTCCAAAATAATAAAGTAAAATCCCGTTATAGTGGACTCGCTTTTAACGGAATATCGTCTATAACGGACGAGGTCCGCTGGTCCCGGCCGTGCGCCTTTACGGACATGCAGAAAAAGCACCGGATATAGGGGACTCGCAGATAACGGAATATCGCTTATAATGGACAAACAATTTGGTTCCCAGGGCCGCTTTTAGCTGTAGTTCTGTTCGGCTATAACGGACATGCAATTCCGCCAAGGCGTGTGGGGTGCCGGTGATATCCGACTCGTTTGGTCGACCTATCGCTCATCCATTTATTTGCGTTTCTTAAATAACGCGGGTGTGCGCACTAAGTGAGACTATGCAAGTCTGTCTTGAATTAACCTTGATTAATTAACATTGAACTGTGTTCGTGGAACGACATGAGGCTAAGTTTAGAGATGGAGGTAGGTTGAGTCTGCCTTTTTTTTTTTTTTAGCTATACTTTCACGGAATACCCTCCAGGACTTAAAAAAGTCCTGGGATTTATGGTTTATCTACTGGTTGCTCTGTGTGCTGGGTGTGACTTGGTACCGAGTGCCACAGTGTGATGGGAGCGCTTTGCTGAAATCGCTGGGATAAAAGAGATTTTCTTTACTCACCAAACTAAGAGGTCCAGACTTTTTCCTAAGTGACTCTCTGTGTTATCAGAGAGGTTGATTTATAATTCTTCTACCACATCAGAAGGTCTTCACAAATCCAGTCTGTTCTCCAGCACCAGAGTTGGATAATTCAGGTCCAGAAAGTAAAAATCCTAACCAAGATTTTGTTTCAGCCAACCAGTTGAGTACATTGTGCCTGTGATTCTTCATACTGAGCTGGTTGGATTTTTTGCTTTCTGGTCCAGAACTATCTACTCTGACCAGCACAATACCAAAGCACATGCATTTCTGGCTGGTCTATAATCCACGAGCAGAGCAGGCGGGTGAGAGTCATGCATGTGCACTTACTTATTGCAAAGCGGTGCATCATAGCCCATTTTGACCTGCTTCAGCTTATAGTCGTATCCCAGCTGAAACAGTGTCCTCTGCATGTAGCCCATCTCCTGCACCTTGCTCATCACGTTCTTGTAGATGCGGTCCATGATCTCCTGCGAATTAAACCAAAGCCTACATCAGCCATCGGTTGGTGCTTGGACAGGGGGTGGTGATGAGTAATGGGTGGTAGTTTAGGCCTTATGGTGACCCACATGGATGTGCAGTGTGCCTCTCAGAGCCTGATTGGGTCTGGAGGTCATGAAATCCATTACGCAATGCCAACCACCAGCTGCCAACTGTTAGCAAATGGACTTCCGAGACATTACATTTACATTTACATTTACAGCATTTGGCAGACGCCCTTAGCCAGAGCGACTTACATAAGTGTTTTAAGACTCTAATAAACATTTATTCTCAGAAATGATTGCGTTAATAATCTTTAAGGAAATCAAAACAACATGTTTTCCGCATGCCAAATAATATTTCTCTCTAATTACTAAATAAACACTAATAACGAGAATGTCTTGTTCATCGTAAATGGCTTTTGTAGAGATCCTTCTTCCTGGAATGCGGCTTTGTGGTTCACAGCCCGCTGTGAGACAGTCAGCCATGATGCCCACGTGTGATGCTAATGCTAATGCTTCAAGGGCCAACGGCACGATGAAGGCTCGAGAACTACCTCAGAACTGTAATAAAAAAAACACACAAGATGGCATGCAGCTGACTCTCTGATTATAATCATTACAGCCATAGACATTAGTCAAGGATGACAGACCTCCTAATCAGATGCTCACAGCAGGTCTGACTTGAGCTGATAGCTGTTAAAAAGGCTGCCCCAGTGTTCTGGCTGCTTTAAGGCAAGGGACTTGCAGTATTACAGACAGGTTACACAAGAGAAAGGAGATAAGGGTGAGTGGGGGGGTCATCTTACCGGTACAGCTGCCATCAGAGTGGGTTTCAGCACAGAACAGTCTCCCTTACTGCCTTTCTTGATCTTTGTTGACTGCAGAGATCAAGAAAACAAACAGATGCATCATGGTAATAAAAATCAGCCAGTAAATTAGAAGCAAATACTGGAGATTAGAAGCAAATACTGTTTTTTCCCTTTTCCCAAAGTGAGTTTCATACCCTACCCACTGTTTATTCTACATACAGTCTGTGGAATGCAAAATTTGCAGGGCATTCATGTTTACTGCTGCTCAATTTTATTAAAAATCTACTAAATCAAAATAAAAACCAGCACGGTCACGCTTAGCTACTCAAATTCATTTGCAGCTGCAGTGTTAAGTGGTGCTCACAGGTTTTGTGTCAACAGAAATATCATATTACCTCTTACTATACAACCATCATGTTGTAATTTGATCAGTAGATTGGGAGTCACCTGGTCAGACAGCGTCTGAGGAGAGGAGTAGCCAATCCGGCAGCCGTACGTCACACACGAGATCTCAGCGGTCATCTCCAGGACGTGGGCCAGTGGGAGGTAGCCGATGTACGTGTCCTTTGGTCTGGAGAAGCACAGCACTACATTATAGGCAGTAGCACCAACAATGCATGAATGCGCTGGCCCTAACTTGGAATTCTGCAATGCCACTGCTTGTTGGGTTGCTTTGATTGAGGCAGTTGTGCAAGACGGTATCGGCGTGTTACTGTGCAATCAGACTCACCCCAGGCCCGGAATCCTCTCGCATTGTCCCGTCATGCCTGCGATGAGGTTGCTGTGGATGATCATGACGCCTTTGGGCTGGCCGGTGGAGCCGCTGGTGTACATGACCACAGCCAGGTCGGAGGGTGTGGGTCTCTGAAACTCCCTGTTCACTGAGGGAGAGAGACGGCCGTCGGTGAGTGATCACTCGAAGCCAAGGCCGGACTTTTGCACGGGATTAACTTGGCTAGCCCAGGGATCCGAGTTGTAGGGAACCCAATTTTTTTCTGGTTGTTACAGCAGAATTTTATGGAGTAGGTAAGGCCCCCATCCCTTCTAAATTCAGCCCTGCTTTGGGCCTAAGCAATTACGCTACCACACGTATGCTATAACATTACAGAACTTCATCTACTCTATGCTTTAAAGTTATATGTGGAAGTTTGGGGACACGTGACCAAAATACATGCTTTACTGGTTTTCTACACTAAAAGGGGAAGAGAACAAATATTATTTGTTTCAAGTTTTAATGCAGAATTACTACTTATTTGCTGAATTCAACATATTGGATTTTTTTTCCTCACTTATTGCAGAAGACTTCTATATTAATATTGGCAGGTCATCTTCCGCTGCATGTTTGAGATCCACTCTCAAATATAGTAATTCAGGTTTGGGGGCTGTCACGTCCACTCCACAGCAGTCCGTCCTTTCTTGAATGAGTTCATGGTCCCAGGTTCTTCACACACTTGCAAGACCTTTTGATACTCGGTATTATGTACTTTTCTCACTACCCACACGATATTTTCCCTGATGCATAGCAGTGGGAAAAATGTTCTTGAAACGCTTTTCTCCAAATGTACCGTCTTAAAGTTTAAATGTCTTACATTCTCTGTTTATTGCAATTTTTTTTGCAAATCTCAGTGTATAACCCATGCATCATAGATCTGAAAATGACAAAGATACCCTGAATTTTAGCCACGGAGTTCCATTTTTAATTAATCAGACCACAATGGCTATTTGCAAGAAGCACCTGGCCTAGCAAAGTGTTGTTTCACATTTTTCAGATGACTTTTATGGTGAGATTGCAGATAAGGTTTCTTTCTGATGATTCTTCCATGCAGTTCATATTAACCGCACAATTAAACCTTCCTACAAGCCTTTTGCAGTCATCTGGGGACTTTGCTTCTTGCACCTGACAAGTTTACAAACATCTATTTCTTATATATAAACTTGACTGCAACCGTTTCCTTCTATTTGAATACTTCAGATGGCAAGCAGGAAGTCTATATATGTATTTCTGTCTTGTTGTAAGAGATAATGATCTTTATTTCTTCATCCTTATTCAGCTGCTTAGTGGAGCCCATGGTTGAGTCTAAACACAATATTCAGAGGATTTATTAATCTGTAAATGCCTAATTAATCAAACATGTTGAGTTCAGAAAATAGATAGCAATTGTTTGTTCAAATTTGATGCATTTTCTCATTTTTGTTTACTGCAGAAGTTAACTTATTTTCACATGGAAAAGCAACAAAACTGTAACTGGTCCTGGGATACTCAAACATTTGAATATATTTATACGTGTACTTCATTGGAATTAGCAGTCTCATCTGCTCTATGCATTCATGCCTGTCCACGTTTTGTTTAGATTTATGTACTAGTGAGTTAGCATTGCAACAAACCTACTGCACTGCAAGGACCCATGGTGCCATGTAAAGATCGGTAGATAGTTACAGAGTGCAAACCCAAGAAAGTGTGAGACAAGTGTGACACAGTGTCACGCCCAGCTCCGTACGATCCTTGTGTGTGCCACTCCTCCTCATTACCTCGTGTCAATTCCTGGTTGTGATCATCTGTGTCCTGTTATTTCTGGCTAGTCTTGTGTATTTAGTCCGTGTCTGAGTACATCTCGTCAGATCCGTCATTGTAGTGTCCGTAGATGTCCCTACCTGTCTGTCTTTTGCCTATTAAAACCCCTGATTACCCGTCAGTTCAGCTCGCTCTCCTGCGTCCCTGCTTGCCTTCTTACCCGAACGTGACACACAGGTTGTGCAAAATCACTTAATACATAATATAAATTGATAGGAGTGTAAATGTAAAGTCTTAGACAGCCAAAGGAAATGATGTCTGTGATCTGCATGTTGGTCTACAAGTATGACATTACATCTGTAAAAGTGTGTAAGTGTAGCCATTTCAAAACCTCTGCTAAAGTCACCCCAGTGTTTGCAGAAACTTTCCAATACGCTCATGTCCTTTTTTATCTGGACCACTGGCACACTTCATATGGCTAATCAATACCTCATTGACCTTATAAAATAATTGAAATTAAATAAGTGAGCTTGTTGTAAAATTTCATAAACACATAGAATAGCTGAAGCGCCCCTGAGCAGAGATTTTGGAACTGAAGCAGTGTTACTGCTGACATGATACCAGTAACTTTTTGAAAAAATAAGAAATTCTTGTTAGTTTTTATTGTTACTCTTGCTACAGTTACTTGTTCTAATGCTAAATTGTGTTTTTTTTTTTTGTTCTGAGCAAATATACACTTACTACCCAGATAAATAGCTTTAAATATTTGCTTTGACTGCCTAAGACTTTTGCACAGTCCTGAATGTAGACATGTAAGATGTATCAGTGTGTTTTACATTCTGTCCAGCAGTGTCTTATGGCATGTTGTGTTAGGAGGCATCTGCCTGGCGTCAGCAGGCAGAAAAGATGCCTGGCAGATTTTTGTATCACACCAAGATGGGAGTAGCTGGTGAATTCATGTGCTGACTGGTTAAGATTTTCCATTTCTTTTCAGCTTGACATGCATAGAGCACCCAAGCTAGGAAAACTGCACGAGTGCTGGGGCCAAACTCACGGTTCTCAGGTCTGGCTCCCAGCTTCTGCACCTCATGCATGCTGTGGATCTGCAGTCTTTCTGAGTAGCCCGAGAAACTCGCCTTCTTCTTGTCCACATAAATGATGTGCTTCAGCTTCCGAATTTCTGGCAGCACATTCTGGTCAGAGAGAAGCAGAGGTTTTGCAAATGTCTATGCAAGGTCCAAAGAGACCACGATCAGAACACAGGTCGTGTAGAACGTTTTGGTTATTATTTATACTTATAAACTTACATGTTGAATATAATGAGGTGCAGGATTATACAAAACTAATCAGCGACAACTTGGTAGTGAAGTTCATTTTCGTATAACCACACACCTCATAGTGGTTCACCCCACTTTATCACAGCTAATGAAAAAAAAATTAAAATAAAATAAATTAGTCACGATTAATTTTTCAGAAAAGAATTATTCCAATTAGCATTTAATAATGTTCCAATGTGCTCTAAAAATATAGTCCCTATAAGGCTAGAACGTCTGGTCAGGCTACTCACTGGAAGCGGCAAGTCTGTTAAGTTATCATGGCAAACTGTCAACAGACAGGTGTTTTGAAAACCAAGGAAAATTATACTGATAACAATAACTACTTTTTTTTTTGTGAGTAAAATGTCACATTGCTTTTTTTTTTTTATATTAACATGTTTAATAAAACATCAAAACACATTGATAAAAAAACTTATTAGGCTGCCGTAACTACCTGGACCAATAAGAAAACAGCATTTACCAAAGCCGAGGTATAATTCCAATTATTGGCACAAATGTATTCAGTAACCATTTGATACAAATTTAAAACTTCTACCAGCTATGTAGAAGATGTCCTGGACTGGCAATTAAAAGCACTTGGGAAATGGAAGTGTTGAAACATCGCTATTAAAATGAAAGTATCAAACCCTAACCCAAACCCATAACATTTATGCTTAATCTAATGACAGGCCAATTCTCATGATATATCACACTCACTACTATCATAACGCACAACAAATGGCTTCCTTTGGAGAAATGGCCAAAAATGGAATCACTCATGAGGCTGCCAATCAACATTCAACAGCTGGGCTGTCATCTCACCTTCAGCTTGGTCTCCAGCAATTCCACGCTGGTGATGAGGTGGGTGACCCCGGATTCGTTTAGCCCGTACACCACAGCTTCTGCTCCCAAAGTGGCGTATAAGGTCACCACTACAAAAAGCACGAAGAGACACTGATATTTCCACACTCAAGGGTAAGAGTACATTAATTGCACACACATAAAACACTTGAAAGTTTCCTTCAGAGACATGGAAGTAGGTGGTATTGTGGTGTTTACAACAGTGCTTCCCAAGCTAATCCTCGGGGGCCCCCCACCAGTCCTCATTTTTGCTCCCTCCCAGCTCGCAACCAATCAAGAACACCAAATAACCTGATACAGTTATGTTGGGAGCTGAGAGAGAATAAAAATGTGGACTGGCTGGGTCCCCCCAAGGACTGGGTTAGGAAACACCGGCTTAACAAAATGATGAAGGCCTCGCTCCTGTACTCTTAAATGTACTTAAACAGGATATTTCCAGCTGTGTAGATGACAATTTGGAAATTTCTAGTAAGTAAAATTTATGAAACATCTGGGTTGGATCCCTTCCTGTCTGACACAAGATGTTTGGGCAGACACAAACCAGCTCACTTCCACTAAGGGGGGGGCTTGAGAAGGGTGCTTATCGGCTCCTGAACTCAAGCAAATAGCACTCTGCCAAAAGCACATGTGAAAGCTTTCAATTACAGAACGATCAGACGCTAGTGGAAACATTCTCCGATCGCTGCAGATGTATCGGCCAGCTAAAGCACAGTGCCGTCACGCTCACGGGGGAAGTTGCGCCGGAAGCAGGCCTGCGCGCTGATCATCCACTCAGCCCGCGTCTCACAGAAGATAGCGATGGTGCTCTTGGGTTGTTGGTCCAGTGCCGCCAGCCCGCTGCCGAAATGGCTGATGGCCGTCTCCATGTCTTTGTAGCTCATCCAGCGGTACTCGCCCAAAATCAGCTGTAAGGGAACACACACATGAGCCAGGCTGGACCCCATGGCCGGCACACGGTGAAGACCCACGGTGAAGGCCCACGGTGAAGGCTCACAATGAGCACAATGGTGAAAGAAGTAAAGACGAGGGGGACTCTGCACCTTCTTGAAGATCTTGCCGTTCGGCTGCATCTCATTCTCCTCGCTGAGTACCTCGCGGGTGCCCAGGCAGTCCCTGTCGGCGAATCGCTGCATGGCGTGCTCAAACAGCTTGTCCAGGGTGTCCATGCCAGGGAAGTCCATAGTGGCCAGTGAGTCAAATTGGTCTACGGAGCGATACGGACCCTCAGCCACGCGCAAGGTGGGCCTGGCCTTTACCCGCTTCGCCGCCACTTTCTTCGCCTGGGCTCCCGTGAGCAGGTACCATGGCAGGAAGGTGACCATCGTGTACATCCACATCAGCAGGTAGAAGGGGAAGAAGACGACCAAGTGTGCGTCGACTTTCAAAGTCATAGTTTTGGGGGGAATGGGAATGGAACGGAACGGAATGGAACGTCGTTGACTGAAGGGACGGTGGTTTCCGTCAGAAGGCGCAGCCTTGACACCTTTATATCAGCACTGGTCTAAAAGCCAAGAGAGAAACAGTGGGGAAAACAACAATTACAAAAGAAATAATTGCTGAGCAAACAAAGTAAGAGGAAAAGACAAAGGGGAAATTAAGGGGTGGGGCGGTGGCAGTCACATACTGCTTAATTCATTCAGAGTGTGTCCAGATCTGCCTTAAAAAGGAAATGCTTTTACTTTCACAAAAGGATGTGATGTGTTTCACAAACAATTTTTAGCACGTGTAATTTCCTACATTTTTAAGGAAGAGGAAAACAGGCATATATAGAACAAATGTTCTCTTCTAAGGTTAAATGACTATTCTTGATGTCAGAGCCCATTCTGATTAAATAAACTGTTTCATATACATCTCAGTAATAAGAATAAAACCATTTAAGTGACAAAGGCAAAAGCAAAATAGAAAATTCTCCGTTATAACCCACTTCTGCATTTTGACCCCATGAAGGACTCAGCTTTTTCAAAATGTTACACATCCTTTTTAACAGTGAAACTATTTGCATAAGTGCAGCTGATAGGTCACAAGCATTGGCCATGATCACAAACAGCACAGCCAGTGTTATTTGGACTCAATCCTGCAGCAGAGGTAAATACTATTTAATTAACAGAGCTAAATAACTACAAATAATGGCTGGCAGACTGCCAAAACCCACAAATCTATCATGGAAAAGACATAAATAAGTAACGTAACAAATAATGACCTTTGATACTATCAATGATACAGTATCTTGTTATTGTTTATCCATGGTGATAAAACACTCATCTAATCACTTACTGTGTAACTCATGGTATTTTTATCTAAATTAAATATGACATTTAAAAGCCAGTATTTATCAGAATAAACTGCACCACTGAACAGAAAAAGGCTAAGCAATCATACAGAAAATATGCTGGTAGTCCCTTGAGAAATGTCACTGGATTTAGTATAAACACTTATAATTACAGAAAGTACACAGATGTAGTGCCAACAATCTTTTGTTACTGTGGCTTGAAAAGACTCTGCATGATAGGACATTACCGTAACAAAGAGAGAAATCTGAATGACAAGATTAAAAAATTCCTTTACTGAATGTAATGCAAGACCAAGTTAGGTACTTACGGAGTGATCACTCAGCAGTTCTCACAAATACCACTGCAGGGAAGAAAAAGAAAAACAAAATGTGTCAAACACTAGTCAGCGATTTCTCTATAACCTCGATGAAAAACTCCACAGGACATTATGAACCTCAGCACAAATCAGCTCTGTGTGTACCGCCCCATTGATGTATCCCCAACATAAGCCCCGTCGACAGGCACGTAGCCAGGTACCAAAATTTTAAAATCTACTGAGTGAGACTGATCAGACGCGGGTTGCCGGACACCCCACGATATTGATTTCTAGCTAAGGACCTGCTTGCTGACACTGGATTCAGTTTGAATGCCGCTTAAACACAGGGACAGAAAAAAAAAACACACGCACACATGTACTTGCGTGAGATAAGATGTGCAAAAAGGTAGCACTTCCACTCTGCCGTGTCTTTACACAAGCAAGTGACATAACAGCATGCTTTAGGTTAGGTGTTGTTTTATTTATTTATTTGTTTGTTTTAAAAACCCCATTACCCGCCGGCCAGCCTGAGGGAGAGGCATGCAACTGCAAAATAAACACGGAGATGAGATCGACCGTGCATTCCAGACCGACGATCAGGTGCAAAGCACCTAGGTGTTACCCAGCTAACAGGGAACATTCCCAGAACTTCAGCCAATGTTATGTGAATGTCTTCTCAAAGCTGGCAGAGAACATTCTTGCTGTAACATTAATGGAATTTTGTTTCCATGTTTTACATTTTAACAAAAGTTCTGTCATTGTCAGCATGATAACATTATTACCTGAACATCCTGTTAATGCCATTAATGTTGAAAAAACATTTTTGTAATAAAATATTATTTTTTAAAAGTGATATATGCGTATACTGCAAACATGCTGTCCAGCCTTGAAGCCGTTACCTTTGAGGTGTAAAGCAACAACATTACCTGCTGCAGGACTGTCTGTCTGGCACTAGGCGAAGCCAGAAATTACACCATGACCCAAATGGACACCGACAGCTACACGGCACACAGTGACTGAAACCATCATTTAACCAGGTTTCAAACTTGCCTCTGACCTCAGAAAAAGATGTTTCAGCACCCTCACTATTGCGTAAACATGTAAATATAATTTATTTACTACCATTGTAACTGAAAAATAAATTGCTGAAACTCCAGCATGTTTATGTTACAAAAAGCTTCAATGGATTTATGTGCCCGGGAACATTTATGTCAACATTTGCTTAAACGATCACATTTTTTTTAAATTACCGGTTTTGATTTAACCTTAAAAATCTTCAACAAAGATTAATAGCAGATTAATTAATTGCAGGTAAATGATCTTTGAAAAACTTTATTTAAAAAAAAAAAACAAAGAAAAAAAACATACTTCACAGCAGTGTTCACTGGTAAAACTAAAGGCCTGTCTTTCCTACAATTCAATCCATAAAGAGCCTTTGTGAGTCCGGCAGAGTATGAAGGGTCACCCTCACAACCAGCAGCAGGGATTATGCATCCGGATTAGGTCTTCTGGTGGGAATGAGCACATTTACCCTGGTGCACTATGCAGTGGGCATCCAACCACAAAACCAAAACCTCACCAGGCATTTTAGCACACTGTCAAAATAATAATAAAAAAAAACAGATCAATACTCAGAAATAGGATAGTGTGAGGGAACAGTTACACCCAGGAGAACTCGGTTAAGCAGCTTCGAGTGCACATTCTCCAGTTGGACACCCTTTTAGAGAACCTTGCCAGACGTGGAAGTCGCTGTAGACAGAGGTGTGAGTTTTGAAGACCATGCAAAGTAAACCCAAGAAGACTGGGCTGCTCATCACCCTCCTTCGTTTCACAGTTTTGTTGTGCCTTTTCTTGCCAGTGGTGGTCGTCTGCCTTTAGAGTTTCACGGTTCGTCTACGCAACATGACAGCGACTGCCCCCCCGTGCAGGTGCATCCCTGCCCCAGTGCGCAGTTAGATGGCACAGGTACCCTCACACGTTTCACTTCCCCTGGGCCTGTGTGACCCCACCTGTGCCTCTCCTACAGGTGCTGTCTCCTTTCGTCAAAGGCTGCTGGGTGGCCTAACATTTGGGAGTCTGTTCAGGTGGAGAATGTCAGTGGGCTTTTATTTCAGTAAACTCAGTCATTCGTACAATGTACTCATGTTTCAGAGCATCCAAAGTGATTATGATTAATTTATTTTTTTTAAAAAGGAAATATGTTTGCATCGTTCTCCAAAAATACCACCTTTGCAGTTGCTCAATGTGATCAAAGTTGCACAAAACACATTTTTGTAATTAAGTCTAGTCTCGATTGTACAGCGCGGATTTGCTGCAGGAACGGACGGCTGTTTGTCTATGCTGGACGACCTCCATCTCCCTATTCCCCTCCCTTGTTGCAAGTCTCGACTTTAGTGTTGTGAGCTGTAGTGACTATGTGCTTATTGCTGAGGTGTTTTTTTCTGTTCCTGTATTGTACTTCCTACTGGAGTACAGTCTGGGGGCTGTTTTTTTTATTCACCTCCACTCTCCTAACGTAATCTGTTTCTCTGAGTTTTCCTACAGTCCCCTGTCTTCCTGACCTGTCTGCCCCCCTGTAATGTTTGTGTATGTATGGTCGGGTTGATGGCCCTCCTTTTCGCTGGTACTTGTGACTAGTGACATGGTGAATTGCAACAGCAATAAAGGGAACCAAATCATCATAATATTATGACTTGGGCCAACTGTAAAACACGTTTTTGGTCAAGACAAAACATGACACCTCACTTTTCTTTTTTTGAAGAAAGACTGGCATCGGGGCTTAGAATAGCCCCGAGTGATCAGACCTAAGGACACCCATGGGTTTAACATAAGGTAACCACCATATTTGTGTCCCATTTATCATATTAGTATGTGCTCTGCAGCATTTACATAATATACAAAACAGTACCTGACAACTGATACATATTGCATATCTTAATAATCTGGAAGAATTTAGACTGTCATAAGAATCAGGTTGCACAGTTGTTGTGTAAGTACCGCCAAACACCAGGCTTCTGTAAGCGTGCAGCATGTTAATAACTTGTGGCTGACCTTTGGGATAAGGGATGTGAAAGACTAGACTGTAACACAATGTAGGCAATTTAGTCCTGATTCACTGTGGCACTTAAAATATGATAAAACCAAACACTTGGTAACGATCCTTTTTATCCCTGAATACTCTATTGAAAAGGTTGCACGTACAGCATTTTACAAGGCTAACACATACCTATTCTAAATATAACACAAGGGCAACAGAAAACCGACCGAAGCAACCAGAGCAGGCTTCTTTATGAGTGAACAGCTGCAGCACAATGATTCCAGGACACATTTCCAAGGGAAAACACCACAAATGTGACCTATTACTTAGTGCCAAGGCACTCTCCAGTCACAAGCGGAATGTGACATTTAGGCCTATTAACGCAATCGTCTGTGACTCACAGGCCCACTCTGTTATCTCGCCGGACAAAGGGAGAGAAGCCTTTCCCTTTCTTCCAAAATGGTGATACCTCTCAAATAAAGGAAAACTAATTCCCCAGGTACTGTCAAATTTGGAGACTAGAACTTTGGTGTACAGTCCAGTTTTCATGGGGGATGCACTCTGATCCACCGCAATGGCCGCAGCAGCACTACCAACACAAATTCTTGATGTTCCCCATTCGCAGACCTATTCTTGTCACTAACCCACATGGTATTGTAGCTCCTCATGCCTTCATACACTTTGGCTCCAGAAAGTTCTGTAATCCAAGAATGAACTATGGCAACTACACGTCAACGAAATTTGATTCACAAAAAGATTAATCTGCCACACCCTGCCCCCAGTCACTCAGTACTCAGATATAAAACAAACAAAGCCCTGAGCAAAAATATTTAATATCCATCCATCTTTATCCTTATATTAGAAACAACAGAGAAACTGTAATTTTAACAGAACAGATCACATATTGACTATTGTGAAGAACTATATGGACCAATGATGTAGCCTAAATTAAACAAACATCTGCATTATTGGTTATGGGGGGAGCACAAATAAAATGCTCATCTGAAATTTGCAAATTTGAAATTTGGAGGAAGGAGGTAGCAGACGCCAAGTGCACAATGGAGTTCTGAAATGACAGAGCAAACAAGCGATTGCGAGGTAACCTTCACCAATAATGTACTGTCATTTATTCCCAAGGATGAATGGGGACACTGGAGACAGGGATTGACTAAAAAAAATAAAAATAAAAACAACAAAAAGCAGCTATTTGCAAGATTCTCCACCTACTCTTCCAACTTTTTTGATTTAGGAAATAACTCAAATCTTTAATTTTTTCTTCCAGAACTGACAGGAATGTAATTACAAGCAGGTTATTTGATAAATTCGGTGCATCCATATGCGAGGCCATTTTACTTGGAAAGGCTAAGCAGATAGTTCTTATAAGAGTAATGCATCTTATAAGCCTAGATCTTAACATAGATATTCAATTATGCAAATGCTTTATTAACAAAGCAGGATAGGAAGTATGAGAAGAAAATAAATGAAACCAGTAAAATTGTATTGTACAAACAGTTTATTCAACAATTCTTCCATTTTTCCGTCTCACTCTTTTGATGCCTTTAGAAATTTGAGTCATATACTCTTAAAAATAACTGTTCTGAATATTCAAAGCTTTATTCAAATATTATCAGAAACGCCACAGGCATGGGGATGTGCCCCAGATGACAGTTAAGCAGTGTGTGTGTGATGTCCAGGTGCAGACCTTACTACACCTAAGCTAGAAACTGCATTCAGAAAACTATGAAAGCAAATCCACCAATCAATCCATCCATCCATCCATGGGCATAGATTTGGGTCTGGAGGTACTCCTACCAACAATGTAGGAGTGCTGTGCATGTTTTGGGGGGCAGGGGATTCGGGGATGATTTGGTCCCTACCAATGTTTAGACCAAACCTGTGCCCTTGCATCCATTCATCCATCCATCCATCCATCCATCCATCTTTCAAATACTAGTCAGAGTCTATGGTAGATCTGTCGTCCATCTGAGGCTACACAGGGCAAAAGAATAAAGTGTACCCTGGACAGGATGCCAGTTCTTTGATCGTACATGAATAATAAACAAACTAACAAATATTTAAAATCAATTAATTAATTCATTCAAATCATTATTCAGAATATTTACAGTGCTAATAGTTACTTTTAACCAATTGAATTAAAGCATAACTAAATTACCTCAATACCCTGACAAGTCCCCACCCAAAATTAATGTGTCCAAGTATAGATTACGTTACGAGGGTCTTCACGATATTTAACTGTGAACGCCAGTACAATGTGGTTTAAAACTCGCATATCACAGTGAAAAAGGCCTGTCTATTCCAACTCTCAGAATTCATCAAGGACAAACGTCGCCCTTTCCCCCAGCTTAGATAACCTGGCCGCTAGTAACCTCTCCAGACACATAAGGCACAGAAATAAACTCGGGAATTGCATGCGACTGATATCAGAAAGCGGGTCTTCTGTTAAATACGCAACAGAATTCGCAGATGACGCACTCCGGGTTCATACGTAATTCGTAAAAAAAAGAGTAATATTTCACATACATTGCAAACATCTACGACACATTCTTCAACATGTGGATATCAGCGTCATGGTAGCGCTCGCACATCATCTGATGCGCCTGCTTCACTACAGCGTATTGCTGAGATCCCACTGTTACTTAATTACAGCTACGTTTGAATAAATTAATAATTTGATATCTGTTTAAATAATATGGGACAAAGACACATACCTCTGATTTATATATTATACAAATACTATTATAATGGCTTGAAATGTTATTTCCCCACTATTGCTAAAAAAATCGTTTGCATGTGTAATAGGATTTAACTAAATTCATTTTCGTTAGGAATTTTAACTGCACAAGTGCTATAATCAGAATTACACGAGAAGTCATCACCATATATGAATACTGAAGATACACGCTTTACAATCACAATTTAACATCCATAAAAAATGGGTCCAAGGTGCACGGAAGAAACACGCGAAGTTTAACATGAATCAATAATGAAAATGAAACATTTTATGTGATTATGATACAAGTGTGAGTGGCAAGAACGCTACTAAATTGTTTCTATTTAATCGGTTTTGATGTGTTGGTTCAGGTTGACAATGGTTCAAAACGTTAAACAATATCTGGCACACAAATTATACAGCAAAAACCTTACAAACAGTACAATTGTATTTTTGTAAGACCGATCTATGTCTTGCTAAAATGTGACTGAGAATAAATATTAAAGAGCAGGTATTAAAATACAGCATGCGCTACATATAGGGCTCTATATACCGGCATCCTTACCTTCAGCAACAACACGCCTGCTGATCTTTACGCTGCTACCAGACATGACCGACAGTAACCTCACCATTTTCCTAAGGAACTAGAAAACCCGGAAACACCGACGTCATCTGACTCCATTTTTCTGAGCCAATAAAGGTGCAGATGCGACCACGCCTTCGTCTGATTCGCTTCCCTGTTTTCGGCGGCGGGTACCCACGTTTCACCGGTGGTGCGTCATGAAGCATGTTCAAAAACGTTTAAGAACAGATATGCTCACAGTTATATAAATTATTTAACAATTCAAATAGTTTAACCACGTGGTGGCATAATTATATCTGACATAAGGACTGGATAAAAACGTAGGTAAAATACTGGAGCAAGCTCTGCTTATTTAGTACAGGGGCGTAGGCTATATGCTAGGAAACAAGGAAACAAGGAAGGAAAGCACCTCAGAAAGTATGCCACGTTATCATCGCAGGGCAGACGCAATCGGTAGCTGCTGAAAATTTCATTTTCTGTTAAATGTAAAAAAATAAATAAATAGATAAAAAAAAAAAACTATGGCCATTTTACTTTGACAAAATATTTTCTTAAAATACATAATTAAAATCATTTTGCTGTTGTATTGACATAGCTGTAATGTAAATGGTTAAATTAATTCTAAAACATGATATAATCGTTTTCTGATTATCCTAAGCTTAAAAGTGGCATAAATGAACGTGGAGCTCATACCAGGATCTCATATGCTCTGATCGCTCAATGTTATTTACTCAAGTTAAACAATAACTCCAGTCCATAAAAATGCTAACTTAGGCAATCAGGTTCTTCCTCGGAAAACCGGATTGTCCAAATGGAAATTAAAGGTTCAATGCATTTGTCTGTAGTCTTTCAAAAATTACTTGTAAATCAAATGAAAATCGTGTAGCCTGTATAATAATTGTACTGAAAGTGCATTAAATGTGATTACTGCTATTCGTGACAAATATAATCAGGCCACAGTTAACAACAATGGTAAAATGTAATTAAATTGGGTTTAAGTTTCCTCCAGAACAATCAAGTAAAACTGGTCATAGTGGATTTTTTTTTTTATTCCAAAGTTAATATACAACTGGATGTCAAAGCACATGCTGCAAGACAATGGGCACATGATATGAAAGCAGCATATACTTCAGAAAAAAAAACAGAAATATCTTTGCATTAAAAGAGAAAGTAGACATTAGGGGCTGTCTTTTGGGTAGATTTAATCCTCATACTATGGACACCGTAATAAATTCTCAAACCCCAAAAAATGACCTTACATACTCAAAGGATTATCACTTCTTGCCCTCTACCATGATGATGTGGTAACCAAACTTGGTTTTGACCGGAGGGTCTGTGTACACGGGTTTGTCCATAGTGCTGACAGGGAGGGCAAATGCTGCATCCTGAAATGGCCCAACCATAGATCCTCTGGTCATCCAGCCAAGGTCACCCTGTGACACCCAGAAAGCTCACAATCAGTACTGGCTGAGTTAAGTTCAACCAGTAAAAATATTAATAAGCCAGGGAACTAATATGGAACAAATATATTTTCATAATACTGAAACAGATTTTTTTTCCACCGCAAAAACTGCATCTAAAACATAACATTTTTGCAGGAAGTACAAATACTGAACAGTAAATTATACATAATGGAAGATTAGTAAAAAGTACTACAGACAACTTTAATGCATTGAACTGTAGCTCAGCAGTTTGAAACAGTTACAGCACCATCTGGTGGGAGAGAGAGTTAAAGACATTCATGCAAGTAATACAATCGAGATTATGTCAAGACCTGTGGATATTTGTGGCTGTGGTCATACCTGGTAAAGTACAAAAAGGAAAACCTCCATGTGATTTTCATAATACACACTGCTATCACATCAGCACTAGCTGCCCTAATATATTATATTAATACAACAATCACAAATGTTATGGTTGTTGGAACAATTAGGCTAATGCTTTACATTTTTGCAGTCACAGCCATTCTGCATACCACTCTAGAGAAGGGCATTTACTAAGTGTATAAAATATAGAAATGAAAACCAATGGGCATTTCACAGCAGAATCGTTCTCCTCCCTACCCCTTGTCTGGCCTTGTCTTCGCTGTACTGCGATGCCACTTCGCTGAATCGCACGCCGGACTTCAGCTTCTCCATGGCCTCCATACATTTACCATGTTTCTCACAAAGGATGTGACGTACCTGGGTGTAAAAGCGTGTAAAGAGTGAAACAGCAGAGTTAGCAAGCTCTCCCATTCCACTGCACATCACGCCTCTCCATCCAATAGTCTCTGGCATAAATGCACAAATGAAATACTATTCGGAAAACAGTCACCTCAGTGATCAATCCCCTATACACTGCCCAAAAAGCATAGCCATTTCACAAAGAGGAAAATATATGACACAAACCAAAAGTCACAATGGTTTCCTAGAAACTCGGCAATGGCATGCAGCCTACCACAAGGCGTGCCATTGTATAGAGTACAATGGATATTCGATACGAAGTTAACTTTCTCGATTAGCATCACTTACAGCGATGCTATTCAATTATGGTCCAAAAGGACTAAATCTAGAATGCCTTTCGTTCCAGCCATGCCAAACCACCTGACTGAAATTAAGTGCCTTCAATTAATCAATTTAACTCACATGTTTAACTTTACAATAAGTGCCATTAAATTTTCTAAATGTAGCTGCTCAGACAGAGAAACTGAACAGCTGTTGATATAAAACAGCTTAAGTAACCTCTGCGTACACAGAGGGGAGATATTAGTGGCAGTATTGCTTCTAGTCCTCACAATCCATCATGTTATCAGGTATGCACGTTTTTGGTCTTTATATCCTTGACCAGCCATGCTTAACAGATTAAAGGCATCACACATTTAAAATGGAGCCACAGCAACCCATGAAGCTTTACTATATTATAAGTTCTCATCTTTTAATTGTCTGTAACGCATTTGTCGCATATTAAAGGGCAAAGACATTTACAGACACCCGATCGGTTTTACCATCACAATAAGCGATGGTTCACCATAGTCAAAAATTAAGAACTTTAGAGAGATATCGCAAATTAGAGAGACTTCTACATCACATACTTTAGCCAGTATTTAGCATAAATGAAATCAAAAAAGCTCAGTGCGACGTACTTCAATGAGAAGCAAGACCGAAATCCATGGGGGTTAGACCAGAGAAGCCCTAGTTTAACAGAACCAAGTAACCACTAAATTCATACACACAACCAGTGGCCGAAAGACCATTACTGGTAATTCAGATAAAATTTACACAAAATGATACGTTTGTCGGTTTATGGCACAGTTCTAAAAAAAATCGTTTTCTTGTGCTGTGCTCACAATGTACACAATGTGTATTTTGAATATTTAAGGGGAAATGAAAAAAAGCATTCCCAAAAGAGAGTTTAGAATATTTTGATGCGGGAAAATATTTAACATAATTGGATATTTCTTGTTAGATTCATTTAAACGATCACATACACATTCAGGGACAGTAGAAGCCTATGCAGCGCCCTAGGCAGCCGCCCGGTGTTCTATCGACCAACGCTACCTATCGAGACGTGCTATCGAGTCTTTCTGCGCATGTGCAGTTCCACCGTTTTGGGATTAGGTTTTAGGGTTTAGGGGTTTTCTTTTCTTTTCTTTTTGGGGGGGGGTTAGGGCTATCGATTAGCACTACGGTAACCTAACTCGACAAAGTAGCTCTGTAGCAATACAAGAAAACACAAAACATGGGCATGTTTTATATAGTGCTCAAACCTTAACAGATGTTCCCCCCTTAGGCGTCTTTTCTTTTTCTTTTTTATCGGCCTCACCGCTCCCCGAAGCACCTGCGCATGGAAATGCATAGGCAACAAATTTCGGTAACGATAGGAATCGTTAAGAAAAGCATGCTATTTAATAAAAACAAACAACCTGCATACTTGACAGATATCAATAAAAAATACGACATTTCGAAGCAACAGCACGTACTGCGAAATTAAATGTTCGGTTAAGCGAAAAAGCCAACAAGCTCGCTAAAAGGTATAAGATCATAATCGATCTAAATCATTGGTATCCAGAAGCATAACGATCAGCGGTTACACCAGCCACTCAAACGAGAGCAAAACACAGTGACTAACTGCAATCAAACTATCTATCCCCACGTTTAAGTAATCTGGGGGGTGACATAAAGCACCTTTTCCACCCTTGCCACCCTTTCCTTTCGGTGGCATTTCTTTTCGGACTTATCCTATTTATAAATAAATTAACACAGGCACTATTCACAGATGTGAAGACCACACCGCCTTCCAGTTGTAAGACGTAGGCCCCCGGATGGGGTGTTTGTCTTAAAGCCTGATTCAATCGATCAAAAAATGTAAATATATATACAAATATATGTTTATAACGTATGGACGTATGGATGTCGTTTATGCAATTAAATATTATACTACAATATTACATTATACAGCTACATTAGTTTATAAATTGATACAGGGATATACCCTGATTACCCGATGACGTTCAATAAAGTGCCACAAGTTGCAAGGACCCTGTGTGCTAGTCTAATAAATTCTAAAATAATGAAATAATGTACTTCAAAATTGTAAATTCAGCTCACGTTGATAGGTTGAAATTCAGTAACTGGGCATACTGAAACGAAGTACACAAAAGTTTATAATATGTGAGGATTTTGTGTGAGGAACCGGAATTTGCCGTAATGTGCAAAGGTTGAGGAGTCAATCTGTATGCTGCCATTTTGTCTGCTTCCTATCTATGAATGTGATGTTTAATTCCGTACATCGCTGTGTTCTATTTTCATGTGATGTAATAAAACTGATCTTGCGGATGATTGCTATTTCTATGGAAGTAATGCAGCATTCATGTTTGGTGTATGTTAGAGTCATTATAAAAATTCTATGATTGTACACTTCTTGATATGCTTTAAAAAGAAATAAAACACACCGTGACCCATATTAAGTAATTATATTGAAAATTAATATTTGACAATAAAACATGACTTGGATTAATTGAAAATTGATTATGGTGATTGTCATCATCATCATCCCATTTATTGTGCTTAATTTTAGGACTGTTTGACACACCGTACATGCCATATCAGATTCAAATACAGTTTTTTATACTGGACA